TCGTTATTGTATGTTGTTAATTGATTCTTCTATTATATTGTCACATGTTTGCCTACTTTCCACTTGAAATGTAGCTTTTACTAGACTACTTGCTCAAATTATAAAACTATGTGCGCAATTCCCTGATTACTCAATCAAGACTATTCATCTTGACAATTCTGGTGAATTTAGATCAAAAGCATTCGATGACTATTGCATGTTATTGAAATTGTTGTTGAACATTCTGTTGCACATGTCCATACACAAAATGGTTTAGCAGAGTCATTTATTAAACGTCTACAACTTATTGCTAGACCATTACTTATGAAAACAAAACTCTCAGCTTCTGTTTGGGGTCATGTCATCTTGCATGTTGCGTCATTGGTTTGTATCAGACCAACTGCATATTATCAATATTCAGCTTTGCAATAAGCATTTGGTCATGAATCTAATATTTTTCACCTGCGGATTTTTGGTTGCGCTGTTCAAGTCCCCATTTCACCCCCACAACAGACTAAAATGAGTCCCCAACGAAGACTTGGGATTTATGTAGATTTTGATTCACCATCTATTATTAGGTATCTTGAACTTTTAAAGAGTGATTTATTTACTGCACATTTTGCAGATTGTCATTTTGATGAAATGAAATGATTTTCCCAACTTTGGGAGAAGAAAGACTATATCCTAATAAACATTGTAACATTTCTTGGAATGAAGTAACTCTATCTCATTTTGATTCCCGCAGTAATCAATGTGAACAAGAGATTGAAAAAATTATTTATTTGTAAAGAGTTGCAAATCAATTACCAAATGCATTTGTTGACACAAAAAAGTGACAATGTTATATATACTAGCAAAAACTATTTCAGCAAAAATTGATGTCATTGCACGACAATTTGGTGTAGCAAATGAATCTCAAATAAGCTAGAAGTGTGGTCTACCAGTTGGTTCAAAAGCCTCTGTATCTCGAAAAAGGAAAATACAAGAAAAAACCAACCAAAAACTTCAGAAGAAGTAACATTAGATAAAA